GGTGGGTCTCGAACCCACGGGCTCAGGCAATTCACTCACCTCAGCCTCCCAAAGGCGCGGGATTACAGGCTGAGCCACCGAGCCCGGCTGGGTGTTTTAACTTAAAAAAAAAAAAAAATTGTAGCAAATAGTTTTGCCCAGTTTGTCAAAATCCTGAAGATTAAAAAAATTTTTTTATTATGAAAAATTTCAAACATATACAAAAATAGAGAGAATAATGTATCAAACTCCATGTGCCCGTCAACCCATGACCCAGATCCAACAATGATCAGCTCATGGCTAATCAGTCTTGTTTCATGTGTATCTTCCTCTTCATTCTCTTCCCAAATGCTGCTGCTCCTGATTTTTTGCAGCAAATCTTCAACATCATATCATCTCACCTGTAAATATTTCAGTATAGAGAAGACTGAAATGTATGTAGTCAAATCACCCATATTTTTCTTTGGTATTATGTTCAAAATAACATAAATTTTTATCTAAAATATTCTAATTATTGGCCAGATGTAGTGGTTCATGCCTGTAATCCCAGCATTTTGGGAGGTGGAGGTGAGAGGATTACCTGAGCCAAGGGGTTTGAGACCAGCTTGGGCAACTTGGTGAGACTGTCTCTACAATAAATAAAACAATTAGCTGGGTGTGGTGGCATGTGCCTGAAGTTGCAGCTACTTGGAAGGCTGAGGTGGAAGGATTGCCTGAGCCCCGCAGGTTGAGGTTGCAGTGACCGTAATCACACTACTGTACTCCAACTTGGGTGACAGAGTGAGACTCCAACTCAAAGATCAATAAAATAAAATAAAAATAAGAATAAATTTTCTAATTGTCTTTTGGCTTTACTAAAAAAAAACTTTGACTTTTTGATCCATCAGAACTGAAATATTTTTTCAAGTATTTAATTAATTGAACATGTTCATATGTTCTCACTGATTTAAAATATCAACTTTGGCTGGGAGTGGTGGTTTACATCTGTAATGCCAGCACTTTGGGAGGCCCAGGCAGAAGGTTGACATGAGGCCAGGAGTTTGAGACCAGCTTGAGCAATATAGTGAGACTCTGTCTCTCCAAAAAGTAGTTAAAAAAATTTTTTTAAAGGGTCAGACATAGTGGCTCACACCTGTAATCCCAGGACTTTGAGAGGCAGAGGCAAGAGGACTGCCTGAGCCCAGGGGTTCAAGACCAGACAGGGCGACTTGATGAGACTTTGTCTCTATAATAAATTTTAAAAAATTAGTTGGGCTTGGTGGTGCGTGCCTGTAGTTTGAACTACTTGGAAGGCTGAGGGGTAAGGCTCACCTGAGCCCAGCAGGTCGAGGCTGTGGTGACTGTAAGCGTGCCACTGCTCTTCAGCCTGGGTGACAGAGTGAGACTCCAAACTCAAAAAAAAAAAAAAAAGGAAATATAAACGTCATATGTGAAATATGCATACATTGCTAGGTCATTTGGGTCTCTCTGTTTGGTCTCATGCTGGTATTACTATTTTTTGGAGTATGTATGTATATATGCATGTATGTATGTATGTATTTTATGAGTTGGAGACTCACTCTGTTGCCCAGACTAGAGTGCAGTGGCACACTCATGACCACCCCAGCGTTGACCTGCTGTGCTCCAGTGATCCTTGCACTTCAGCCTTCCAAGTAGCTGGAACTACAGGCGTGTGCTACCACACCCGGCTAATTTTTGATTTATTGTAGAGACAAGGTCTCGCCAAGTTGCCCAGGTGGTCTTGAACCCCTGGGCTCAGGCAATCCACTCGCCTTGGCCTCCCAAAGTGCTGGGATTACAGGCTGAGCCACCGAGCCTGGCCTGGAGTATGTATTTAATATTTGTTATTGAAATTTCCCTGGTATAACACTATTAATCATTCCTAGAGTGTGATTTAATGCACAACTGTTCAAAATTCTGAAAAATCTTAAAGCTGATACTATTCATCATCATTTGAAAATTAGATCTGCAAGCTCAGCATATAAGAGGCTGTCCCCACTTTTCATTAAAAGTAATTATTAAGTAAAAATTACTTATTATATAATTAAACTCAGGCTATTACATCATTGTATATATTTATATATTTTAGAAAAGCGATTAGAAGCCGGGCTTGGTGGCTCAGCCTGTAATCCCGCGCCTTTGGGAGGCTGAGGTGAGTGGATTGCCTGAGCCCGCGGGTTCGAGATTCGCCTGGGCAGCAAGACCTCATCTCTACAATAAATCAAAAAATCAGCCGGGCGTGGTAGGGCATGCCTGTAATTCCGGCTACTTGGAAGGCTGAGGCAGAAGGATCGCCGGAGCCCAGCAGGTCGAGGCTGCGGTGGCTGGGAGTGGCCACTGCACTCCAGTCTGGGCGACAGAGTGAGATTCCAATTCAAAAGAAAAAAAAGAAAAACGATTAGAAATGACCAGAAATTTAGTTCTAATGAATTGACAAACGTGCTTTGAGTCCCCGTTATGTGCTAGGACACGATGTCTGGTGCTGATTACACAGGGAAAAACAAGGTGGACACAGTTCCTATCAAGTGGCGATCAATTTCAGGGACTCCAGGCCCCCTGTTAAGAATCTATGAATAGGAGACAGGATGAAACGAGTCAGAAATGCAGGTTTGAGGACATCATTACCGACGGAACGACCCGCGTTATAGGAACTGTGAAAATACAATTCTGTGGGTAATTGGTGTTTTATTTCTTTCAGTCCTTATCTCTGCAGCGCTTTCTTAGCATTCTGTGGCTTTCAGAGCTCTCCTCCGCTGGGTTCCAGTGACCTCATTTACAACTCTTCGGAGAAGAGCCGTCAGACTGAGAAAGATTCTGGGAAAAGATATTTTGCCTCCAAATGCTGTTAGTTGAATGGCAGGCCCCTTACCCTAATTAATGCCAGTATAGATCCCTTGGAATAGTCTCAAAGTACTATTTAGCCTATTTTCAAAATTATAAGCTTTTTTTTTTTTTTAGTTGAAGTCTTACTCTGTCACCCGGACTGGAGTGCAGTGGCCACTCCCGGCCACCGCAGCCTCGACCTGCTGGGCTCCGGCCATCCTTCCGTTCAGCCTTCCAAGTAGCTGGAACTATAGGCGCGTGCTGCCATGTCCAGCTAATTTTTTGATTTATTGTAGAGATGAGGTCTCACCAAGTTGCCCAGGTGGGTCTCGAACACGCGGGCTCAGGCAATCCACTCACCTCGGTCTCCCAAAGTGCGGGATTACAGGCTGAGCCACTGAGCCCGGCCATTATAAGCTTTTTTTTTTTTTTGAGTTGGAGTCTCACTCTGTTGCCCAGACTGGAGTGCAGTGGCCGCTCCCGGCCACCGCAGCCTCGACCTGCTGGGCTTCGGCGATCCTTCCGCTTCAGCCTTCCAACATTATAAGCTTTTTACTACTTCACATTTCAGATGTGTTAGTTTAGCAGTTATTTCCTTACAAAGGGATCCCACCTTCAGTCACACTTAAATATTTTTCTATGGGGTGAACAAGCAGGATTTAGGCACAACTATTCCACAAAATACTTTTGTCTTTACTGAGAAAGCAGTTAAGAACATCTTAAGATCTTTTGCTTCTGATTTCTAAAGTAGTTAATGCTGCATTAGGGCACAAATAACAAACCAACCAACTACAATGATATAAAAAGACTCAGTTTTTTTTAACATAAGAAATTTAGACAACTACATGCCAGAGCTGGGAAGCTATTAAACAACGCCAGACTTTCTCTCTCAGCACTGCCTTCTTCAGTTGTGAAATCCACCCTCATGGTTGCAAGATGGCTGCCGTAGCTCAAATAACAATGCCTGCAACCCAAACAGGAACAAAGGGAAAGAGGAAAGGGAAAAAGGGACGCATTATAGCTGAGCCTGACTCAGCAAAAAGTCTCTCCAGATCTCCCAGTGTTCTCCATTTAGTGACTATTGAATAGAATTGCGTCCTGTGGTTATCCTCACAGTAGGAAAGGCTGAGTGATTGTAGGTCTTAACTGGGAACATTGTTACCAAACAGCATTTGAGCTCTGTAAGTAAAACAGAAGGAATGTCACAATTCCTTAGCCAGAGGACGTGTATAGACTATTCACAAAGCGGTCGCGTAGGACCACTTTGCATCTTCCTCGAGCTCTTATTCCAATAATACTACC